TGATAAAATATTAGAGATGTCTGGCTGGAGAAAGTAAGTCTTTTTTTGTTCTTAGGAACTGGAATGGAAATTAGAAATCTTGCAGTTTGCTTAGGTATTTGATCACTTTTTAAAAGTGATGTGCCAAGTGCTGACTCATTCTTAAGTTTAATGAGTAGGTTGCAAGTGTGGACTCCTATAATACCCCACTCCAAAAGAAGAAAGAGATTGCATGTCTGTACTTAACTCCCATGGCTGATAGTGAATAGTGTTGCAGAGTCTCCTAATCTGTTTTCACTGACTTTGGGAGTATTCACTATTTTCCAAAACTGGTACATCATAAGAACATCAAGTTTAATCCTACAGATTTAGATCACTCATACATATGTTAGGACAGTTTCCTTTAAGCCACTGTGTCTTTTGCAACATCTTAACTCAGGGATTCCATATTGACCCTGCACGACATGTTGGGCAAACTAAAACCAAATTTATTTCAACCTGGAAATATCCTTCAAAATAATTTAAATAACTCTTTAAAGTTTAACTCACTGTCTTTGGGAGTATTAATTTGGTGTTTCAAATCCCTTCCCACCTCCCCAGCATTTCCATGGTTTGTGGGGGCGGGGAGCTGGCGGGCTTCTGCTGGGCTACTGGCTCACTCTGCTCTTCCTCCTGACCATGTTAGCATCAACTCATCAGTCCAAGACGGGACATAGGTCAAAGTGAAGATAAAGGATTATGGACCAATGTTAAGATACCGAATCATTATCTATTTTAACCCCAGATTTCAAAATTCAATTTTTATGTTTTTAAACTTTACATTTCAACTTCAGATAAGATATGCTATGAAGGAGAAGGATATAAGGACACTCTCCCATCTCCTCTTACCTGCCCATCCACATTTATTAGTATAGTAACAATATTATCTCTACATTGCTCATGTGCATTCTAGTCTGTAACCATGATTACCTTGGTTATGTCTTAGCTCTACTCTCAGTGGTCACCGCCACTACTCTTTAACATGGCTTCCCCATTCCTGAGTTCTTAGTTTTGATTAATTTCCTATACGGCTGGATTTTATCCTTCATTTTCTGTTTTTTTGTTTTTTTTTTTTTTTGCTTTTTAACAGACATACATTATGACCTTCAAAGGATACGTTTTTAATAGGGGTTCATGAGTGCTATTTTCCCTTGCATGCTTAGAATGACAACGCTGGTTATACTTTCTTTTACACAAACTTCATAGACACTGCTTTATCATCTTCTAATAGTGATTGATGTTGCCAAGAAATCTGACGCTAATTTCATTTTTTCCCCCCTTGTAAAGACCTTGCTTTTTCTGCTTGGATTCTCTCCTTATCCCTGAAGGTCAGTAAATGCTCCGAAATATGGTTGGAATTAATAATTTAGAATCATTTTTCCTGGGGTACAGTCTACCCTCTAATCTACAGATCTAAGACTATTGTAAAACACTTTCCTGACACCACTTTCCTGTTGTATTTTATTTTTAAAGCACTAATTGCATGTATAGTATATCAAATCAATATAGTCCAACTTTCATGTTTCTTCTCTACAATCATTTGAGTGTCTTTATTCTTTTTCATGTCTGAATTTTTGCTTCCGTCCTGTCCACCATGTTTCTGAACATGTTCTTGTCACATTGTTAATTACATTTTGGTTCCCTCTAATGTGGTTTTCATCTCTGTAATAACTTTTATTTTCCTTCTGCTTTCTGCCTGATACCTTTCAGCCCCCTTTTCAACTCTGGCTATTGTTTAATAATCCCTTAGTTAAAACCTTATAAATCTTGTACAAAGAATCATTTTCAGTTTTTTTTTTTTTTTGAGACAGAGTCTCACTCTGTTGCCCTGGCTAGAGTGCCGTGGCGTCAGCCTAGCTCACAGCAACCTCAAACCCCTGGGCTCAAACAATCCTCCTGCCTCAGCCTCCCGAGTAGCTGGGACTACAGGCATGCGCCACCATGCCTGGCTAATTTTTTTTTATATAGTTTTAGTTGTCCAAATAATTTCTTTCTATTTTTAGTAGAGACGGGGTCTCGCTCTTGCTCAGGCTGGTCTCGAACTCCTGACCTTGAGCGATCCACCCATCTCGGCCTCCCAGAGAGCTAGGATTACAGGCGTGAGCCACCGCGCCCGGCCGATTTTCAGCTTTTTTAAAGCCTTATTTTTTTTTAATATGAAGGGCTTTTGCTTAAATTTTCCTTTGTTTCCTTAGGCAAATTATCTTATTATAATTGTTCTTATAACCGCTGTGTTATGTAACGACTGTTACACTGATGTCTTTCTGCCACAGGTTTTCTCTACCCTCATGTTCTCACAAATATGTGTCACCTACAATCAGTGTATCTATATCCCGTATTATTTTTGAAAGAACTTAATCATAAGCACCCTATTGATTTCTTTCTGGTTAATATTCATCATTGAATGGTATCAACTTTTAACTAAGGGTAGCGTGAGAATGGGAAGATGGTTGGTTAAGATCGTGATAGCTTTTATTTTGGATAGTAACTTCAAATACTCTTTCAACAAAATCTGCTGTTTTCTTTGCTCCAGGATATAGTTCTTCTGGGTTTTTAATATTCTAGAAGTGGGTGTGGCTCAAAGTGGAGCCCTTTAATTCACAAGCCCCTGGGCTGCTTCTCCTCCTGTCTCTGGATGCATCCTTGCTGCAGGTCTCCGCCTGCTTGAGTGCTGAGGAGGGAGGTGAATGGTTTCAGATTTCCTAAAGGTTTGCATCATCATTTGCATTTGGTATTTGACACTTTTTCTCGATGAATTGTACATGGCAAGTTTTAAACATATTTTTAGTTGTTGTTGTTGATTTTGAGAGGACTCAAGTAAAAAAGACTACATTTTCTGTGTTGTTTTCTTTTTTTCAAAGGCCTTTTAACATCCCACTTCAGTTTCTGCCTTTTTTGATGACTGCTCCTCAGCTGTCCTCAAGCAGTAAAGTCCAGGAGGAGTTTCTTCCCTATGGCTGAAATCCATTTACTAATATTGCTCATTATGGGAAATAAGAACTGGACTTTCCCACAGGCAAAGGAGGTAGTTAGGTGTAGGTATGCGGGTTGATTTCAGGAGAATGAAGAAAGTCCCAGGGCTGTCTTTTGCAACAGCAACTCCTCCCCTACAACTCTCCAGCATTTATTGTCTGAAATTCTCTAATTGGATTCATTTTTTTTTTACTTTCTCTTTTTTTGTTTTGAGACAGAGTCTCACTGTGTTGCCCAGGCTAGAGTGCCGTGGCGTCAGCCTAGCTCACAGCAACCTCAAAGTCTTGGGCTCGAGCGATCCTCCTGCCTCAGCCCCCCGAGTAGCTGGGACTACAGGCATACGCCACTGTGCCTGGCTAATTTTTTCTAATTTTAGTTGTTTGGCTAATTTCTTTCTATTTATAGTAGAGACGGGGGTCTCACTCTTGCTCAGGCTGGTCTCGAACTCCTGAGCTCAAGCAATCCTCCCTCGTCGGCCTCCCACAGTACTAGGATTACAGGCGTGAGCCACCGTGCCCGGCCTCTTTTTTTTTTTAAAGGCTAAAATCCCAGAACCCCCAGGAAGATATGGTGATACATTTCACCTGTTGCTTATATGTTTGGAGCTTACTAGGTTATAAACCTTTCCCTAAGGGCAGATTTCGAGAGTTGGAAGAAGGAACATAGAAAGATTGTAGGTGACACCATATTAGCGAGAATAAGAGGGTGGAGAAAATTGGAGAAGGGGAAGTAAAAAGAAGAACCTCTCACTGGGTTCCAATGATGGAGACAAGGGCTCAGCAGGCTCCCCTCCGCTTTTCAAAGAACGGATGCTCACGCCGCTGGCAGACACCATTAGGGACTGGGATGAGATGCTTACCAAGTGAATGAATCCGGCAGCAGTGAACCAGGTACTGAGAACTATTGATAGCAGTTTGGAAAACTTCACTGAATTACTAGAGGAAGAAAGACAAAGAGCTGTTGGGTCTCTCTGACAGGTTCCAGAGCAACACAGTCACCTCATCCTCTAAGACCTTGCTACTCAGAATGTGGTTCATGGTCCAGAAGGGATGGCGTTACCCAGGAGTGTATTAGAACGTAGAGCCCAGGGCCCACCCCGCTCCACCAATCTGCATTGTTCCAAGATCCCCTACTTGATCCACATACAGTTTAGAGCTTAAGATGCACAGCTTTAAAACTCACCAGTCACACACGCTTGTTCAAAAAGTTTGAGTTTTGCTGCGATATCCATTAGCCTGATATTATATCACTTGTAAAAATACACTCTATGTGGATCAACACGAGATAAATTTAACAGATTGTTACATTGCCTAAATAATACTACGAAATGCAGCATGCCAGCAATTCAGGGAGTAGGCTTATAAAATGAAATTTTGAGCAGAATGCAGAAATGTAGAGTCGCTCGTAATGCTGAACTGGTAATAGGATCTTTGAGTGAAGAGGATCAGAGGGGCTCTTGTCTCCTAAGTAGGACCTTAGAGTTTAGCTGAAATCTCTGTGGTTTTCAGCAAGAGCCACCTGTCATGCAAGAACAGCCTTTCCTGTTCTGACTTCTCCATAATGCATAAACACTTAGCAGTGAAATCTGCCTGGCATTTGATGCTTTTAGTGAGAATGTAGAAGCACGGAGGTTTTGAGTGGGTAGCAGAAAAAACTGCTTAAAGCTTTAGAAGTATTACTGCTCAAAGGTAGTTGGGATTTTTGTTGTTGCTTGGAGATATGTCGGTGATTATTTCTATAAGCAATAGTTCACTGCTGCTGCCTGGTAACTCCTATGCTTGGAGGAATTGTCTTACATTCTAAAATCTGAGGAAATTTTTTTTTTTTTCACCTATCCAGGAGAGACATGATTCATCAAAGCAAATGTGTAGAACCAAAGCCTCTGAATTTCTTTGATTTTTTTTTTTTTGATGGTGGAGGGACCCAAAATTAAAACCTAAATGAACTTACACATCATAGCTTTATAAAACAAAGAATAAGCAAACTCTTTAAAATGATTGCAAAGTTTTCAGCCAGTGTGTGATGTAATATAATGGGAGAAAGTGAGTGAACATCATCTTGGGAGCTGAGGGACTTCATGATTTTTACACTGAAATTCTGATGGCACATGAGTTGCGTTAAAGGTTCAGTTAACATTTTCCTTTCCTAATCCAAACTATTGATGGCAAGTAAGCAGTATGTCAAACAGGGCTAGCATTTACCTGGTTTTGATGGCTTGGAGAATTTGCAAGATTTGAGGAAGTTCCAGCAGCCGTAATGCTCTTAGGAACCGTAAACCTACAAAGAAATGGAAAGAAGAAAGCTGCCAAAAGAAGAGGTTCACTCCAGGGAGGAGCCTCAATGAGAACACCATTGGGATTGCTTACGTTCTCTTTCTCAAATATAATATGTTATAATGTTATAGATTTAAGAACATGAGCTGTAGTCCAAATACTAGGCTTGACACTTTATAGCCGTTGTAATCTAAGGCAATTGTTTTACCCTCTCTAGTTCCTTATCTGTAAAATGGGATTTATAATAGTACCAACCTCACAGAATTGTAGCATTGATATAAAGCGTGTAAAAGCATGCCTCACATATAATAAGCACTATTCATTTTACTCTAACTCCTCCTTAGAATTGAGAGAAAATTTTCCATAATCACTTAAACTATACAATCTCTGAAATATGCTTGCTCCTCGATGTTTGTATGCTGTTTTCCTTTATGCAGTTTGATAATACAATAGCAAGGAATAGAACTGGTATTCATTTTATAGACAATAAATAATAATATAAAATTGCATAAAACAAATAAAAGTATGTAATGTC